CAATGCATCAGATGATCAACCCGTGACCGATTCGAGACAAAAGGCTGCTCCGATACTTTCGTATCGGGCAGCTACAAGAGCGACGATCAAAAAATTAGGCCGAAATTCATATGGGCTAATCAGTTGCATTTTCATAACGTGATGTTTTCGAATTGTACATCAATTTTTTAAATCAGACCAATCAATTTGCTTTCTATAAATAAAATATATATAAGATAGCTGCGCGACGTGCGACGCCGCGCGGGACCAGTACGATCAGATGCGCGGGTTAAGTTTTTAAATTTGGTAAAACTGTTTATTTATGTATGAGGTTTGTTTATGGTTAAAGTTTTTTTTTTTTTTTTGTGATTGTTAATTTAATATTTACGTGTCATTGTATAATATTTAGTTTGTGAATTGATTGTATGTATTTTATTTTGTATTTATTACGTTGGTTAGGATCGTGTGATTGGTTAATAGCATATTTATTATATTTATTAGGTTTGGTTAGGTAAAGTTTTTTTTTGGTAATTGCTTTTTAGTCTTATTTTTATTAGGCAAGTAATTTATGAGAAGATTTTTTATGGTAGGTATTTATTTAGGAGTAACAATTGATGTTATATGAGCGATTTTTTAATGGTGTTGAGTATATAAAAAAACTATTTTATAATGTAGTATATGTTATGATTATTTGTAATTTCATATTATTTTAATATCATAAATGGCGTGGGATTATAATTATAATTTGTAGCGTGGGAATGTTTGTATTGTAAATAGTTTTTTTTATGCTATGGTTACTTTTATATTATTTATTTTATTTATGCTGTTTTTATGTTGTATGTTATTATTTCTTTTTAAATGCGGTTACTTTGATATTTTCGTTTATTGTTTGATCAATTTAATTTTTATTTATGTTTGTTTTTTTATTATAATGTATTGATATTTATTAGATTTTTAGCGGTTTTTGGTTATTTGTATTAGGATTATTCGATGATGTATTGTGTTGTCATTATCTTGTTTTGTTAATTATAAATAGCGGTAATTTTCTTTTGTTTAGATTATTTGTTTTCTCGCAATTTCTAAAATGCCTTGTCATATTGATACAATTGTAAGGATAAAGCAAGTTCGTTTGACTGATAGGGAAGATTTAAATTTGACTATCGTGTGGGCTATTGGTCTTTATCCTCTTGAAAGTGAAGATCGGGAATTGGATTTAGTTTTGTTTGTTCCGTTAAAGGAAGATGAGAGAGATCCTAATATTCAATCGATATTTGTTAAGGATGAGTATTATTGTATTAGCGGAAAAGTTGTGCCTGAAAATATTAACGATAATTTTAAATTAAAAGTAATTTTTTTAAGAATTTTGTTTGTTAGTTATTAAATTTTGCATTATTAAAGTTTTTTTTTTTTTATTTAGATGACTGTTTCAACCTCTACTCATATTAATATTAAGAGGGATCTCGGTTCGAATTGGTGCCCATTAAAAGTTTCATTGGTCGGTATTGCTCAAGATGTTATGAAGGAATTTAATAAAGAGAGTGCGTTAGTTAATATTCTAGTTAGGGATTATGCTGGGCAGAAAAAGTATAGTTTCGTAGTCAAGATCGTATTTCCATATCAAAATAGTAGATTTAAACATCTTAGAAGTTCTATTCGGCCCGGCCAAATGAGTCTGTCTTTTTTGTTACAGGACAGTTGGTAATTTATACGCAAATGCTGTTGATATTTCTTATGTTGATGTCCCTTCTGTTATTAAAAAAAAAGTTTCAGATTCTATTAGTTCACAAATTTCTTCAGATTGTTATAGTTCTGTTCGTTCGAAACTTTTGATTGCTCATCAAAGTGCTTGCGAAGGTTTAGATAAGGTTTTGGTTGTTGAAGGTTCAGATGGCGTTGGGTCTGTGGTTGATTCAACTGTTGGTAATAGCAATTTCTTAAAGCGTGAGAGAGTGGAAGATAAGGGAGATAGTCACATTGATTTTTTGATTCTTCTATTAGTGGTAGCTGTTCATCGAAGCACATTAGAGTTGATGATGAGGCAGATGAGTATGTTGAGTATGTTGATTTGGATTGTAATGAAGATAAATGCGTAATTGAACATAATGATGAATGTGTTGAAGGAAGTAGCAGATGTGGGGAAAAGTTTCTTATAAAGTTAATGAAGATATCGATTTTAATAAAAAGACAAGTAAGGGTAAGGGAAAGGAGGTTTAGCCTACGTTGCATAATACAAGACGTAGAACTAAATTGTAGGCATTTGATATGATTGAATTTATGCTTATTTGCTTTTGTTCGTTAGGTTGTTTTATTTTTTATTGTTTTGTATTTGATGGTATTTTGTCATTTTTTATTATTGGGTTTGTGATATCTAGTTTTATCTAGTATATCTAAATATTTTTGTTTATTGTTATTATATTATTTGATCGTTTGATTTAGTAAGAATATATAGTATATATTTTTATATATTATATATATTTTTTTATTTTTTTTTGTGTATGTATGCTAAGTTTTTCATTTACATAGTAAGCATTATTTGATAAAGTTGATTTTATTTTGAAATTCATATATTTATATTTAAATATATTTATAATGTGAATTTGTTGGTAATATTAAATAAGAATATAAAGAATATTCTTTTGTATCGCTTTAGTGTTTTTTGATTAGGGTGTTTGGTTGTGAATTGAGTGAAGGTTTTTAATTTGAGTTGTTTAATGGGTCAATTGTTATCAATTTTAGAGGAAATTAATTGATATGATTGATTAATGTTGAAGATTGTAGTGTTTTTATTTTATTATATAATGGCAATTTTGCTAGTAAATGGTTATCGGAAAAGACTAGTGATATATAGTTTTCCATTTAATGTATTTAATCTTTTTTAATTTGCGTGTTATGTTCATTGAGTTAAACAGACGGCCATTCATTTAATTGCTTGGTTTTCACAAAGCACTTTTCAAGTCGTTCGAATTCATTCTTAAGTTCGTTTCAATTGTTGTATCAAGCTTTAATCATTTAAAGGGTCGAAGTATCATTATATCCTGTAATTTTTGTACACGAGATAGCATTATATAGACTTCTGACTTTATATTACCATCGTTTAGGTCTACAATCGCTTTATCTAATGTTGCATCTTGACACTTGAATTCTGTAAGTGCGAAAGCAGGAGTTACTGGTAACTGAGTTCTTTAAAATTCTCTTGTTACGCTTAAGCCATCAGCTATTTTGTGTATATATTTGCATTTTTGTTTTACAGGATATATTGGAATATAATTAGGTAGAAGATTATCATATATTCCTGATGTTTGATTTAGAAGTTCGATTATTATATATTTTGGGGTCTGTTGACGATTACATTTACTGTTCCATCACTACACGTATTTTCAATTAATTCAGTAGGATTATCATATATAATTTCTCGAAGTATGCCTTGTGCACATTAGTCATTTCATCACAAACACAAATATTAATAGTCAATGCTAATTTCATACTGATTGATAACAGTAATATTCCACATAATGCATTTGATTTCGTGTCTAAAACACTAAGGAATTTTCATTTTATACTATTACAAATAGTATTATATCTTTAGCATAAATATAATAGACTGGTTGTTTGTGTTTTTTTGCATGTTTTATGGCGGATTCAAGGTTTATTTGAACTCATAATTCATTTCTGCGGACTAAAAATATAGCAGTTTCCCATTCTGGTGAGTTTATTTCGTTTTCTGTTATTATGCGATTGTATAGGATGTCAATTTGTAGTGTTGTTAATTGATCATGTTGTAAGTTATCTAAAATCAAAGCATATGTCAGGTCGTTTATTTGCCTTATCAGTTTTTTAAAATAGTGGCGTATTTTATTGACAACCATAATTCTCTTCCACTGGTATTTATTACTGTGCAAGAGTTGATTGATTTTGAATTTTGTGGTGTAGATTTTGTTTTCGTAAGTGTTGTTTTTATAATGTTAGAGGGGCAATATAATGGTGTGTTTAGTACTGGTGGGAGCTGCATAAAGTTTCTAGAGAAAATTATATTTAAACCTGCGAATGGTTTAGTGTCATTCCAGTTGGGTTTTGTTTCTTTAACTCGGGTGTGAAATTGCATCAGAAGCTTTTGACCGATCATAGATATTTCGTCTATGATTAAGTATTCTATTTTGGCCCACTGTTCTTGCAGTAGTTTTGACGATTTTTTTATAAGAATTATTTATAAATTCTTTATCACTAAATTTTAATCTGCACAATGAATGAAAAGTATAACCGCTGATATTAGCCGCAGCGAATCCCGTTGATGCACTGATGGCGAGTAATTCTTTTTGTCCGATTCGTTCGAAATATTTACAAATTGCTTTTATTACTTTAGTTTTTCCTGTGCCTCCGGCACCGCCTAAATGAATTAATAGTTGTGATAGTTTATCAGGGTTATTTGGATAATTTTATTGATGATGATTACATACTAGTAAAAATATTTTTTTCTGTTCATCATTTAGGTCATGTGAAATTTCTTGTAATAGTTTGGTCTCATATATCATTTTTGTTGATAATAATAATGCATAATCTAAGTTTTTTGAAGTATATGCAGTTTTAGATGTGTAATCATTCTCATAATTTTTATTATTTTGTTCTATTTTTTTTCGTGTTGTAATGATTTCTTGCCATAATTTAATCAAGTTATTATCATTTTCATTAGCAGGTCTAAAATGATGTTTGTTATTATTATGGTTTGAAATACTGGTAGTGTATTTTGTTGTATATTAAATCTACCTTTAAGGTATAAATGTAATATTGCTTCATTAACTAATTTTGTGTTGTGGAATCCAGAGCGTATTATTGTATATGGATCGAATAAAGATCTATTTTTGATATTTAATCTGCTTGGTTGTTTAGTATTTCTATATTGTCGGCTGAAGTATCATATCCTATTACCGATCTTTCTATTCGTTGAATTTTCGACATTTCTGGGTTTTTTTTTAGCTATTTGACATAATTGTTTGTCCAAAATTGTCTCTTCTTTGCATTTATGTAATAGGTCAATATTATTTACTATTGATTTTATTTGTGTTGATATGTTTGAATCTTGCATAAAGGCATTACACGCTTCATGCCATGAACTGTATTGTTCTATTAGGTCATTTGAAGAAGTCCATGGTTTGAAAAGTAATAGTATACAAAGTCCGTATCGTTCATTATTTTCAGGATCATCACTTCACGGAATACCTTTTTCATATAATACTGGTATTCTTTCATTTCCATATGACCAGTGAATTTGCATATGTGTTGAATATTGCGGGTGTTTAATTTCACAACTTTGTGCTTGTTCAATTTCTTGTTCGCTTCCAGAAAAATAAAAGTGGTCAACTCTTGTCATTCGTCTTTCTCTGGTTTTCTGTCTAGTTAATTTTTCTATTTCTTTGCTGTTTATTTTTATTTTATGTATTGTTGCAGCATAGTCATAAAGACACATTCTTTTTAAATTTTCGCCACGGCATATATAGTTAATTCGTAGGTTTATTGCTGATATTTTTTCATTTGAATTCACTATTTTGAATGTTTCATCATTTACATTATAATTATTATCAATTTCTTGTTCCAACTCATCATCATTAGTTTCAAAATTGTCTTCAAAATCATTTGAAGTTTCTAACCCAGCTAGATTTTCCTTAATACAAATTTGTTCAGTTAAATATATTTAAAAATTATTGAGATAAATTGAAATGAATTTATTAGGTGTATAGTGGTCGTCTAGAACTAAGAGATATGTGGCTACTTGAGGTCCAGTTAGTTCTGCTCGTCCTGCAAATTTATTGAGGCATAATGTAATGAGCTTACATGACCTTTCTATGTATTTTTCTGTTATTTCATTTGATGTTTTTATTAGAAAATTGTTTAGAGTTATTGCGCATATCAAAAACGAGCTGTGAGTATTTGAATCAGACTTAGTAATATAGTCTGTTATGTAATAGATATATGCTAGGGTTAATTTTGTAGTTGCAATGAATTTAATATCGTTATTTCCATGACAGCTTGAGATTATGTATGGGTTATAATTATTAATATAAGCGTTAAGGCGTTAGAAAGTAATTATATCAAGTTCAGGATAAATTTTTCCAGATGCTTCGACCAGCTCTTGTGGAAAATCAAAATGACAATTAGATATTCTGCCATGATTATACTTTTTACATGTCCAGATACATTTGTGAAATAGTGTACGCTTAGCAATGTTAAGAATATCAAGATAAAATTTTTTTTCAAAATTAGGTAATTGTGGATCTAGTATAGGAAAGAATGACGGATGCATTTTTCTTTCCAAATTCGTTTTAGGAGTCAAATATTCCGTCCACAACATCTCATCGGTTAAATGCTGAGTATCAGGAAATAGATAACTTATGTCTTCTTTGACAATTTCATTTACATAGTTCATCAATCGTTTTCTAAAATCTTCTTCATTTTTTAAACGTTCTCGAAGTTTAATCAGATTAAGAGCTCCTTCGAGCCAGATTAACATATGGCAGTGAGGGGTGCCTTGATCCTGGTATTCAACTACAGCATAATAATTCTTTATTATACTAAACACACCACCATTCGATTTTCTATAACCAACTATATATTTAATTATTTTTTCATAACTATTTTCAAAGTAATTTGCTACCGCAGTTTGATAAAGGTGAGCTAATCGTGCTCTTTCTGTTGCTGTTGGAAATTTTTCAGGAGTTAAAAATTCAATATCGATTTCTTCTTCTGCATATAGCATTACAATTGGACTATGCAGATCAGCTGGATTGATAGTAATAAACAATAACGGCAAACCATCACGCATGGTTACAGCACAGAGTTTATTTTATAGTTGGTTACGAGACTGTTGTGAATCTACGATTCTTCCTTCTACGATGTTGATATTTCTTAATAATTCAACAATTGCACTATTCGTTATTAGCTGCTTGCTATGTTCTTTTTTGAGTGCCAATTCTATATCACGCGGTGTTAAATGTGAAATTATCTCAGCAGATTTTTCGAAAGTCATTTGCTTCGTCATTAAATATTTTCCTGCGGCGATCTCTCTTCTCTGTAAAATATCAAATACTACGAAAATGAATGACCGATGATGTCTAAACCTAGGATCATAGAGACGTAACAAATAGTTTATATATCATTTGAATAGTATGTGCTGACTGCAAAATTTATCTTTGTGTTCGCCAATTCTATAAGGAAATAAGATGAGAAATGCAGCAGACAAAAGTGTCAGATCTGTGTATTCATTTTTCGGGTTACATAAGTGTGGCATTAAAATTGCCTTTATGTGATCATTTTTAATAATATTTGATTCATTAATCATCTTTTCAAGAATTTCCAATGAATGACTTTTTCAGTGAAAGTGATATTGTCCATGTACGCAATACCTGAACTTCTTAATTCATCATTACAATTTATATATTCATCGTTATGTTCAGGTGTTACTGTATTATTATTTAATTTTTTATTTTCTAGTTCATCAGCATCATCATCATCAATTGGATCTGTAATATATCCAGTATAGTGTTCCATTTCCTTTGGATTAATATTGACAATCACAGTAGTTGCCATCAAAGATTTTGGAATTCCATCTTCTGGTAAAGAATTTAATGCAATTTTATCTATCTTAACTTTTTTGTATAAAATATTGTTTTCTATTAACCATTTTAAAGCTTCTGCGACTTTATTTTTTCTCACTTGTAATATCTTTTTCAATTGTATCTCTGATGGTTTATCTCTGATGGTTTATTTTGACCAACAAACACTACTTTTAAATTATCACACAAACGATACATGGGCAAAGGTAAAATAGTGGTGAATGATATCGGGTTTTGAGTGAATGTAATTATGTGTTCTTTTAGTTTATGATGCGTATGTCATTGATTGGTAAGTTGAATAAGATTTACACAAAGATACCCTATGGATATTAAAAGCTGTTCTGGAATTGTTAATCCTTGAAAGCATGATGGAATCATACCTAACCACATGTTCGCCAATGATAATATTGGAGTTTTACCTGCGTCTAATGATCTTTTACAATCCAAACATATGCGAAGGTCAAATGGATCTTTATTACTTAACGTATTTCGTTTAATAAACCCATTTCTATCCAATAATATTTTATATCCGCTTTTATCAACGCATGGAAGTCTATAATTAAAGTCTAAATCAGGAAGTAACGTTATAAGTTTCTCATCGGCTTTAAGTAATGACAGATTTATTTTTTTTATGGAAATTCTAGTCCAATGTTTCAACAAAAACATTTTGAAACAAATTGTACATGGTAATTCTCTGAGCAAATCACACTTAGTATTCTCATGATATTCGGCCAATCCATTTACTACAATACTTTTAGTATTTAACTGTGGCCAGTCTTTATATTGCTGTTTCTTTAGATTAAAATTATCATCTATTTCCAAGATTCATAATGAAACACCTGCTTCACTAGCTCGTAAGTCTTTTTCTATAAGTACTTTTCATTTTTTCGCACATTGTTCTTCATATTTAACAGCTATTCGACATTTATTTTTCAAATTTCTAAAATCAACCCTAAAATGATTTTAACATAACTAAATAATGATATATAGAATATTGGTTTGTAAACTCATATTTACATGTTATTAATCTTTTAAATTTTATACTTATTGTTCTTTACGTACATTGTGCGGTTTTCATGACTGCGAACAAGGATTAAGGTAAATAATAATAAGATTATACTGTTTTTATGCTATGGCAAAATTTATTAACCATTAATATGTGAAAACGAAAAGCGACTATTTTTTTATTATTTTCTTATGCTTATATATATAATTTGGCCATAGTCTAATGATTTGATTTACATTACATTAATTAATTATTTAATAATAATTTACTCATTTATCATTTACAAGTCATTTTTAATCACTAACTACTATAGACTTTCACATGTTACATAATAAATGTAACAATAAGTGTATTTGTTTTTTTTAGTACTATTATATTTATTATTACTATTCTTTTATTTTGATGCTTCTTTTTTTAATCTATCACCCTGCATATTCCAAATAAAGTTTCACTAACTAACGTAGATTACGATATATATTATTGTTTTTACTAATGATGACAAATTTATCTTAATTTACATCATATTAATTAATCATTTAATAATCATCTACTCATTTATCATTCATAAGATATTATTAACTACCAACTACTATAGATTTTCACATATTATGCAATAAATGTAATGATAATCATATTTATTTTTTTTGGTACTAACATATTTATTATTATTATTTTTTTTATTCTGATGCTTCTTTTTTTAATCTATCACTCTGCATATTCCAAATAAAGTTTTGCTAACTAATGTAGGCTATGACATATATTATCGTTTTTATTCATGCCAACAATTCTATGCTGTTTACAATCAATTCAGCACCCAATGATCTGACCACTATTCATATGTCATGCACATATATGTTTGTACGTATATATTTATGCATGTAATCTTCCCACATTGTCAATTTCTTCACACATATGCACAATTAAGCAATCTCACGTAACATATGACATCTTCACAATACCTTCAAAATAGGAAAAAAAATGATGAACATAATACATTCCAAAATAGGAAAAAATTAGCGCACCAAAAAGTTGAACGGAACTATCCCTCCACATTTCATGTGATCATACTAGTATTATTTTTTGAAATCGCGAATCAATTGCGAATCATTTGCGGATTGATTGTAACCAATCAAATTTTAATCAACTTTGAATTATCACTTTTGTTTAATCACGTAATGAATAACAACGATAGTAATACAGATACTGCGAATATTGCAGATACTAATACCAATACCAATATTAGAAAATTTTTTACACCTCTGTCTCAAACACAAAAATCAACTGATAGTTCTAATAACCAAAACAAAAAATTAGTTAAAGATAACTATCCGTATATTTATATTACAAAAATAGAAAGTTAACGAAAAACCAACTATATATATATAATTCTTTCACTTGGTTTTTATCCTTTAAGTGCTATTAAAACATGACGCAATTCAATTAATGGAACGGTATATCAAATACCAGATAACTATTCATTTTTATTAACTATATACAAAATTCAAATTACTTGCACAACTCAATATCAAGATGATTTAGTAAAATATACAATTAGTTGGATTGACGATAATAAAATATGACAATGTACTACAAGTTATAGCTCTGCAACAGATGTGAGCATCAAGTTTTTATAGGTGATTATATTATCATTATATTAATTGTATTTTAACATGTAGTATTTAATATAAATCGATCAATATACAGTATATTTAAATAATTTAAATTTTTTATAGAAATTAAGAAAATTTAATAAATGTGTTTCAGGAGTAAGATTATTTGCTTTTGATTTGGAATGTTTAGAAAAGTGACGTAATTCTCCAAGCATATATCAAAAAAAACCTTTAGAAAAATTATCTTTATCACAAGTACATAGACGACTTAGATTACTTGCAAATGATATTAAAGATAATATACAATCGTTATTTTTAAAACATAATGCTACATTATTAGAAATAGACAAAGTTAATCTTGAACACAAAAATGATATGATTGAGTTTAATTTTCAATTAGCTAATAATTTTACTACAAATGAATATCTTAACTCTATCATTTATGCTTGTGATGATGCATTAGTTTCAAGAGATAATTTACGATGATTAGCTGTAGTAATGCCTAAGATAGAACGTGAATATTTAATAAGCAAACGGCGAATAGAAATTAATAATTTTATAGACAACAAAGTTCCAATCAATTTATTTACTTTAAATAATATTGAAAATGGTGCTTATCGAACAATCAAGTCTATTCTAAGTGTTTTAATACCTCATTTAGTAACTTCAGAATCACCAGTTTTAGTTTACAATACAATTAAAATTAAGCTTGGAGGTGATGGTCATCAAGTAGGACGTCAACAAAATCATGTATTATTCACTATGTGCATTCTTAATGAAAAAGAAGCAGTATTATATCCAGAGAATCAACATAGGTATAGTGATTTATTTTATAATATACTATTATACTATACTAATATTAAACCAATTCTAGTATTTGTCTTTATATTGGGACAGAAAAACGTAAATTACTTGCAACAAGTTTTGAACTATTTATTGAAGAGTTGAAAAATTTATCACAAAATGAATTTTGTGATCTAAATGGCAATATATGGCCTGTAGAATTTTGGTTCTCAAGTGACTAGAAGTTTGCTGCTTTAGTTATGGGTATTAATGCCGCAACTTCTAACGGATGTTCTATAGAATAGGTGGGCAATATATAAAATAAACTCCGCTAATAATTAGTAATCATTAATAAATATTTAG